AGAAGTGAAGAATATCATATGTAGAAATCTAAATATTGATATAATATCGATCTGTAATTGTAATTTGTCTATTGTTTATTCCTCCTTTCTCTCCCTCTCCCTCTCCCTCTCCCTCTCCCTCAAGCATCTAAAATATTTTAATTTCTAACGTTATTGTTTTAGAAGCTAGACTTCTTACCGGTATTGTTACCACAGTAACGCAGGTTACAATCTCTATGTCCACGAAGATAGTACACGTAGAATTCTCCACAGTTTTTAACACGAATAGATTTTGAACGCGAACAGCAGGTGGTATTCCAGTTAAAGCACACCGTACGAGTCACGACACCGTCTGCTTGGGTAGGATGAGAACCAGTCATCCATCCTGGAGCAGCAGTACCACAGTGACGTACAGGGACACAAGATGTTGCTATGGCAGTGCCTGCATCACCCATGAAGCGGTACCATGCTGGAGTGATATACCTGTCACATTTGTTCTTTATTCCCCGGTATCCTTGTGCACGGTCCGATGCGTGGAGCACAGCGTAGTTGCTGCATTCTTGAAAATAAATGATCTTATTCATTAGAATGCAYTTAGAATCAACCCTCTTACCTTGAGCGTTAAGTTTTTTTTTTCTCTCTTCCGAACAGGAACATTATGTATATTCTAGCAATACATGAAATTACCATCACGATAGCAGGTTACAAAGACGTCTTCACTATGACTACAGTCGTGCCTTCCCCACCCATTATGTCTACACTGTTGAATAGCACTCTCGTTGCCAGAACATTGTACATCATCAAGCCATATCTGTCCTGTTCCTCCTCCACTGGTCTGATAAGAAATTGCACCAGCAAAGCCAAGCTGGCGGCAAACCACGTGGGTGTTGGTCATGGACCAGATATCATCACACACTGTACCCCATACTCCATTATGAAGAACTTGTAATAGACCAGAGAACCCCCCTCCTTGAATGCGCACTGTGAAACAGGAAACAACTAAGTTTATAGATACCCTGAAACAACCTCTGGGCTGATCTAAGTCAGGGCATGGCTAACTCACACATTGAACCCTGAAACAACCTCTGGGATGATCAAAGTCAGGGTATGGATAACCCACAGATAGAACTCTGAAACAACCTCTGGGCTGATCTAAGTCAGGGCATGGCTAACTCACACATTGAACCCTGAAACAACCTCTGGGATGATCTATGTCAGGGCACGGCTAACTCACAGATGGAACCCTGAAACAACCTCCGGGCTTATCAAAGAAAGGATATGGCTAACTCACAGATCAAATGAATTAGCTTGTTAGGCTTTGCAAAGGTAGCAAAACTCGAAAACCCTCGCGGAGCAAAACCTTAACTTCGAATCGAGCTCAAGATCCCAGAGGTGAGAGGCGAGCGTATATTTCTGCTACACCACCCTTGATTCCCTCGAGCAGTAAGAACAGTACACGATGAATACAAATCGAAGAGTGTTCAGTACAACAATATCTTTCTGAATTAAGCATCGTAAACCAAACCTGATAATGCAGGTGTTACTGTTGTGTTTACTACTCCTATTGATGCTGTTGTTGGTGCTACTGTTGTTGCTGATACTGTATGAAAAATAGAATAACAAACGATTAGAAAAAAACGAAAAAAAAAACGCTCATTACAAATATATTTTTCAACAAGCTGTAGGTCATTAGAAAAAAACCGTATATTTGCAATAAGCGTTTTTATTGCTCTGGTTGTCGATGCTGTGGCTGCTGTTTTTATTGTCCTTGTTGCTCTTTTTTTCTGCTGTTACTGCTGCTTTCTATTGTTGCTGCAGTTTCGGTTAACCGTTTGCTCTCGTAATGTCTTATCATCTCTGGTCACAAATCATTTCCTTGACTAGCAGTTCTCAGTTGCGTTTTTTACAATTAAAAAGGTATAGGATTTTGGATGCAGCAAACAACGAATATATTATTAAGGTTTGAAATGAAAAAAAACAAAACATCATTTTACAGTCATATCGAGATTTTTGTCGTTAACCTTAAAGTGGACCACTGAGATCATTGCAAATATCACCCAACGGGGTTATTATTTATATTCTAGCAATACATGAAATTACCATCACGATAGCAGGTTACAAAGACGTCTTCACCATGACCACAGTTGTGAAAACCCCATCCACGATGTCTACACTGTTGAATAGCACTCTCGTTGCCAGAACATCGTACATCATCAAGCCATATCTGTCCTGTTCCTCCTCCACTGTTATGATAAGAAAGGGCACCATCAAAGCCAAGCTGACGACAAACCACGTGGGTGTTGGTCATGGACCAGCCATCATCACACACTGTACCCCATACTCCATTATGAAGAACTTGTAATCGACCAGAGGACCCTCCCCCTTGAATGCGAACTGCTGTTAAACGTAAAATAAAATAAAATGATAAAGCCAAATCCGCTCGGTAGAACGATACTTTTCTGATGAATCGCTAATTATAAACCAAAAACGTTCTATTAAGTGAAAAAAATCAGTGCACTTGCAGAAATGCCTCTTTTGCTTTTATTATTTCATCGTTGTTGCTACTATGCTACTGCTGTTGCTGTTGTTGTTGCTGCTGCTGTCGTTGTTACTTTCGTTGTTGCTGTTGTTGATACGGTTGTGTTGTGGTTGCTGCTACATGCAGTTATTCTGTTTAATCGTTTGCTTGCTTTTTATTTTTTTCAACAAGACATTTACTGTCTCAAATTGAGACCAAAAATAGCAATATCTAAGTTCAAATACTCATTTCGCTTTTGAAGAAATAGAAAACGCGCGGGCGTGCTGTGTGCAGTCATAAAGCACGCGGGGGTTGGCAGAACACGAGAGAAGTGTTAGGAGAAGCACTACGCGTGCTTCTGGACACTTCTCGAGTGTTCTGCCAATCCCCAAGTGCTTTATAGCGGAACACAGCACAGCAGCAAGTTTTTTTTTCTTTTATAAAATACAAATTACAATTATAAACCCTTATTATGGATAGGAATGACGCAAAGTGCGCGCGCGTGCAACGTGCTCTCATAAAGCTCGCGCTCCAAGCCAAACAGAACGCGACATTCATAACAGTTATTTTATAATTACCAGTAGCATTTTTGATGTGTACTACAAATTGCAGATCCACTGAACCCAAAACGTTAGACGAATCAAACTGCGTCGTCCCTGAAGGATAATCCTCAAGCTTCAAGATGATTGGCAGGAGTTGATTTACATAACCAGTGCCATTATAACTGAGAGTACAATTCCCCTGAAAATGATCACAAAGAACGTAAGTACACATTCCTCTGTAACATTCCTGTTAGCTTACTTCGTCTAGTACTCCATAAGGAAAGTAAGTACACATTCCTCTGTAACATTCCTGGTTGCTTACCTCGTCTAGTACTCCATAAGGAAAGTAAGTACA